CCATCCCGGCTCCATCCCTGTTCCATCCCTGCTCTCATCCCTGCTCCCATCCCTGCTCCCATCCCTGCTCCCATCCCAGTCTCCATCCCTGCTCCCATCCCTGCTCCCATCCCTGCTCCATCCCTGCTCCCATCCCTGCTCCCATCCCTGCTCCATCCCAGCTCCATCCCTGCTCCATCCCTGCTCCCATCCCTGCTCCCATCCCTGCTCCCATCCCTACTCCCTGTTCCATCCCTGCTCCCATCCCTGCTCCCATCCCTGCTCCCATCCCTGCTCACATCCCAGCTCCATCCCTGCCCCATCCCTGCTCCCACCCCTACTCCCTGTTCCATCCCTGCTCCATGGCAACACCAAAGGGGTGGGATGGACTTGCCAGTACCTTTTCCACTCCCTTCTCTTTTCCTTGGAATGTGCTCTAAGACAGGTTAATTACTGCAAATAATGGAGCTTCCCTTTTCCCTGGAAATTCCTGGGGCACTCAGCAGAGCTGGGGCAGTGCTGGGGGCTTGAACTTTGTTGTTTCCTCCTGAATTTCCAAATAATCCTCACAACTTTTCCTGATCTTTATCATCTCTTTTTTTTCTGGAGAAGGAACCCTTAATCCTGATGAGGTTTGGAATTGGAAATGAGATCTCCTCCCATCCCTCCCCATCAGGGCCCTTTTCCAGGCCCCTCAAACCCTCATCTCTCCCTGAGGGTGTTTCTTAAAATTCCCAGGTCTCTCCCAGTGCAGGAGAAGCAGCAGAGCAGCCCCTTAGTGCCTGGATCCAAGGATGAAGCCACTGCAGACACATTTGGGATGCACATGGATGGAACAATTCTCTTGTTGTGCTTCGGATCCAGTTAAAGCAGATCAGTAAAGGAAAAGTTCCCAGAATCCCGGACTGGTTTGGGTTGGAAGCAGCCTAAAGAATTCCCACCCCTGCCAGGGATCCAGGGGCAGCCCCAGCTGCTCTGGGCACCTGTGCCAGGGCCTGCCCACCCTGCCAGGGAACAATTCCTGCCCAATATCCCATCCAGCCCTGCCCTCTGCCACTGGGAGCCATTCCCTGCCTCCTGTCCCTCCATCCCTTGTGCCCAGCCCCTCTCCATGTTTTTTCCAGGCTCCCTTCAGGTACAGGAAGGCCTCAGTGGGGTCACCCCAAAGCTGCTCCTCTCCAGGCTGAACAATTCCCAAGCCTCACAGGGAGGTTTCCAGCACCTCTGTCAGCAAAGAGATTCCAGAGATCCCAGCACATCCTGGAGATCCCCATCCCGGAGAAGACAGGGATGCAGCTGAGTGTGGCCATGGCACCACTCCCACCCCATCCGGAGCTGTGTGAGGACGTGGTGGGAGAGGAAAAGGAGGGATAAGGAATGAGGAAGAGCCCCAGGAAGGCTTTTCCTGGGATCTTCCTTCCCACTGGGGATGTGGGCAAGGCAGGAATGACACAGCCTGGCCATTTCCACAAGACCAGCTTTAATATCAGTCAGGAGAATGAGGAGAAAGCACAGAATCCATGGATGGGAGAAGGAAATTCCAAAAATTCCCCCCAAAAATTAAGAAAGAAATGAATGAACCCGACCCCACCTGCCGCTCCCGGACTCTCCAGGCACTGCAGGCGGAGGAGCAGGACTGGGATGATCCATAGGGAGCCCCTGTGCCTCCTCTCCTGGGATGCTCACCTTGGGCTGAGCTCGGGATTCTGCCCAGCCTCACCCAGAGTACGCGGCCGGGAGAAGAATCCGAGAGCGGCGGTTTTGGGATCTCTTTTATTCTAAAACTCTCAGCCTACGGCGGTGGGAATGGAGAATTCTGGGATGCTCCTTCTGGCACTGAAACCCAGGGACTGCAAAGAGGAACAGAGCTGAGAGAGGCAGCTGAGGGATCCCGTGGCCAGGATAAGCCCTGGCGTGCAGCGCTCGGGATATTTGGGATGCTTCCTTTGGGATCTGCTGCTGCTGCTTCTCAGCCTTGGACAATGCTAAGAAGTGTCCTGTCCCTCCATCCCGTGTGCCAAGGCCCTCTCCAGCTCTCCTGGAGCCCCTTTAGGCATTGGAGGGGCTCTGAGGTTTCTCTTCTCTGAGCTTCCCTTTTCCAGGTGAACATTCCCAGCTCTCCCAGCCTGGGAGCTGCTGCCCCAAACCCCCCAGGAGGAAAGGACAACAGGAGTCAGGTCCAAGGCGCCTCTCACTTTGGGCAGAATATATTTAGAATTTATATTTTTATATTATCTTTATATTCTTTTAATGCATAGTGAGTTTTTCTTCTTTTTTTTTTATTTATTTTTTAATAGATTTTTTTAATAATTTTTTTTCCCATCTTTTTCCTCTGTATTTTTTTTCCCCAGTATTTTTTCCCAGTATTTTTTTTTTTTTTCCATCTTTTGTTTTTCCCCCGGTGCAAACCTGAGCTGGGTCCCTGTTTTCCCTGTGCAGTTTTCCTTCCTCGGGATGGGCACTGTGGTGGGGAGGGGTCAGCAGGCGATTTCCTCCAGCGTCCCCAGCGGGGCCTGCAGGGGCACGGTCACAGTGTGGCTCAGGCTCTCCGAGTGGTTTGGCACTGGATCACAGGTGCTCTGCCGATGGAAAAACAGGGAATGTGTTATCCCAGGGCCCTCCCCTGCTGCCAGGGACCCAAATCCTTCCTGCCTCACACACTGGTGAAGGTTTGCTGGATAAAGGAGCCACGGCCCCACGAGGCTCCTCGGAGAGCTTTGGGCTGGAAACCAAAGTGGATTGGATAAAGGAACCCATCCTTGAACCGCCTCCAGGTGATGCTGAGGGACAGGAACACATCCACAGGAAAGCCAAACACAGCACAGACTCTTCCCTGGCTGGGTTTGGGGTGGGGGAGGCCAGACCCCACAGGAGCCCCGAAAGGAGGGGGGAGGGCCTTTGGGGTAATCTTGGTCAGAGGCAGTGAGAACCCATCCTTACACCAACTCAGCTGTGGAGCCCCAGCCCTGGGAAGGCCAAATCCACCGGACATTCCCATCAGAAGCAGCTGAGGGGTGTCATGATCCATCAAAGATCCATCAAAGATCCATCAGAGCCATCAAAGAGCCATCAAAGAGCCATCAGAGCCATCAAAGAGCCATCAAAGATCCATCAAAGAGCCATCAGAGCCATCAAAGAGCCATCAAAGATCCATCAAAGAGCCATCAAAGATCCATCAAAGAGCCATCAGAGCCATCAAAGATCCATCAAAGATCCATCAGAGCCATCAAAGAGCCATCAAAGAGCCATCAAAGAGCCATCAAAGATCCATCAGAGCCATCAAAGATCCATCAAAGATCCATCAAAGATCCATCAAAGAGCCATCAAAGAGCCATCAAAGAGCCATCAAAGATCCATCAAAGATCCATCAAAGAGCCATCAGAGCCATCAGAGCCATCAAAGAGCCATCAAAGAGCCATCAAAGAGCCATCAAAGAGCCATCAAAGAGCCATCAAAGAGCCATCAAAGAGCCATCAAAGAGCCATCAGAGCCATCAAAGATCCATCAAAGATCCATCAGAGCCATCAAAGAGCCATCAAAGAGCCATCAGAGCCATCAAAGAGCCATCAAAGAGCCATCAGAGCCATCAAAGAGCCATCAAAGAGCCATCAAAGAGCCATCAAAGATCCATCAAAGATCCATCAAAGAGCCATCAAAGATCCATCAAAGATCCATCAAAGAGCCATCAAAGATCCATCAAAGATCCATCAGAGCCATCAAAGATCCATCAAAGATCCATCAAAGAGCCACCAAAGCGCTCCCAGCCTCACTGCTGAACCCCTGCACCACAGGACACACCACAGCCGGTGGCTGCTCCAAGAGAAACCCCATCCCCCGGGATGGGCCTGGCTTCCCACCCAGCCCCAGCTGGAATAACCCATGGGATTCTGCTCCTGGGGGAACCTGCAGCACCAAGGGCAGCTGGAGAGGATCAGTGGAGCACTGTTGGGATCCATGGATGGTGATATTTGCCTTGTTCTGTCACTCACTCTCTGCTCTCTTCAACTGTTTTTCATTTCTTTCCTTTGCTTTTACTCTCTTTTCTCTCTCATATTTACTGTCCAACAAACCCCAGACTATTGGAACTGGGGCCTGGCCCTGTCTGCACCTTAACTGGGGCAGAGGCATCTCTGATTATAATTTTAGGAACCAGATCCTGACACATGTCGGAAGAGCTCCAGCGTCCCCAGGGAATTTTCCCTTCTCCCCTTACCACATTCTCGTCATGGCTCCCGTCCTCTTCCTCTTTTCCAAGAAGGTCCAATAATTTTTCCTTGATCAGCTGCAAGAAGAGGGAGCCGGGGTTAAGGTGGGAAGAGGCTGCAGGGGGACTGGGAGCACTGGGATGTGCTGGGTTTGAGGGTGCATTCCAAAGGGTTGGGAGAAGGAGGATGCTCCAAGGGCTGTGCCATGGAAAGGCTGGGAGAGCTGGGAATGCTCACCTGGAGAGGAGAAGCTCCAGGGAGAGCTCAGAGCCCCTTCCAGAGCCTAAAGGGGCTCCAGGAGAGCTGGAGAGGGACTGGGGACAAGGGATGGAGGACCAGGAGCCAGGGAATGGCTCCCAGTGTCAGAGGGCAGGGCTGGATGGGATATTGGGCAGGAATTGTTCCCTGGCAGGGTGGGAATTGTTCCCTGGCACAGGTGCCCAGAGCAGCTGGGGCTGCCCCTGGATCCCTGGCAGTGCCCAAGGCCAGGCTGGACATTGGGGCTGGAGCAGCCTGGGACAGTGGGAGGTGTCCCTGCCATGGCAGGGGTGGGAATGGGTGATCCTTAAGGTCCCTTCCACCCAAACCATTCCAGGATTCTCTTATGAGGAATAAACCCCACAACAATTCCATTTTTGGGACACTTTTGGGGTTCAGGGAAAAGCTCTCAGCTCTGTGAGCTCCATTTCCCTTCCCAGCCCCCTCATTTTCCTGTTGCTGCAGGATTTGTCTTCTGGGGAAATCCCATAAAACTTGGGAAGTGTTACTGTAAAACTTCCACTGGGAGAAAAGAGAAATAAAACCAGAAGAAGCTGAAATCCTGAAATCTGAGAAAATTGTGTCAGCTCCTAAGGAATGTGGATCCTGGCTGGTGCAGGGAAGTTGGGTGGGAATTTGGGACCATGAGGACAGAGCTCAGCAGAAGATCACAAAAAAACCTCTTTATGGTCAATATTTCCCCCAAATTTGGCCTATCCATGAAAAAAAAAAAAATAAAAAAAAGTTTCTGCTTGCTGTCGTTCCCAGAATCTCTAAATATTTTGTCTGAAAACTCAAATTTTTGAGGTGCTGACCCCTCTTTGTGAAACTCCGAGCAGAGGGGAAAAACTGTGGATATTTTTTTGAAATTTTAAGGTTTTTTATTCCTTTTTTCCTGGCTGGTGGGGGTTGAATATCAGGGAATGTGAAGATTTCCCTGCTGGGGCATCCTCAGGGAGCTTCTCTGAGGGGACAAAATGAATTTTAAGCCCAAATAAGAAGAAAAAAATAAAAAGAGCATCAAAATCCTGCACATTCGACACATGTTATCTGCAGATGTCAAATAAAGGAGGAAAACAGAGAGGAAAATCCCAAATTTCGGGGGTTTCTTATGGCCTGCTTAGGAAAAATCCCCAAGAAATCCAGGAAAAGGCAAATTTGATGAAGTATTTGAGTATCCAGGCTGAGCTCTAAATTCAGCTGCTTTTGCTCTCTGAGCTTTAGGTCTGGAATTTTCCCATATTTTTTATTCCTGGTTAATGGCACCAATGCTGGAACTGCCCAGGAGGGATTGGGATGGGGGGCATTGTCTGAAAATATAAAAATATAAAGTCAGCATCCCAAAAAGAAAAATGAAAATGAGAGGATCTGAAGTGAGTTCAGAGCTGGGATTGTGGGATTCCCTTCCCTGGAATGGGACGTGTCCCCAGCCTGGACTGGGACACATTAAACCAACAGCCATGGCCAACTCTCACATCCCATGGGAATAAAATTCCCTGTTCCCAGCCTGAGATGGGGCTGTGGGAGAGCTGGATGAGGCAGGTGGGAAATACAGGATTTTGGGGGGCTCTGGGATCCCCAGGGAACAGAAAATTCAGGGATGAGGGGATCCAAGAGTGGGAAATCCTGGCCCGAGAGCTCCAGGATGGGAAATCTTGGGATGAGGGCTCCAGGATGGGAAATCTTGGGATGAGGGCTCCAGGATGGGAAGGCCTTACCTCATACAGGTAGTCGAAGAGCTCAAGGATGGTGAGGATGCTGGCCCCAATGAACAGCCCCATCTGGCCACCAATGTCACCTGTGGGGACGGCACCGTCAGAGCTCCCGGGCACCGCCGGGCCCAGCCCCGGGAGCTGCCATCCTCAAAAACCTGGCAGAGTGTCCCCATCCCAGCACTGGGCCTGGCCCCTGCAGTGGTTCTCCTGCTGATGGAGCCTGGAGTGCTCCAGCCTGTGTCCCAGGAATCCCAGTTTCCCAGTCTGGAGAAGGTGCTGGGAAGAATGAATGTCCCTGGAGCTGAGGGAAAATTCCAACCTGGCAAAAAGCGGGAAGGAAGGTGCCCTGGGCTTTTTGGGTTCTGCTTGAGTGTCCCAGGGAGGAGGAGGAACCTGAGGAGATTCCCAGCAATCTGCTGGGAAGGTACCTGGGATGTGGTGCTCTGGGAAGGCAAATCCCATGGAGTTTGCAAGAGAACAGCCCTGGATTGAGCCCCAGAGCAAAGGCACCCATGGGTGAGGGGCAGAGGGGCCCTTCCCAGGGGTGTCCATGAGACACAGAGAGAGGAAAGAGGAAAAGAGTTTGGGAGCAAAGTGAACACCCAGAAGGATCCCAGGGGATGTTCTGGATTTACACCACCGGGAATCCCCTGGAGGCTTTGAGCCTGGGGAAAGGTTTTGGGATGAGACTCTTCCTGAAGCTCCAGAGCCTTGGGAATGAGGGTCCTATGAGGTGCAAATGGGGTTTGGGTCAGAGAGGCCCCAGCAGCCTCCTCTTCCTCCCTGGAATTCCTGGAAAAGCCCCAGGAGGTGCAGAAGGGCTGACAGGGGGACACCTCCGTGCCCCAGGGGTGACCCAGCTCCACCTTCCCAAGGTTCTGTGAGCACTGCCAGCATTCCAGAGGGATTTGGGATGCCTCAGGGAGGCTGCAGGGCTCAGGGACCCCAAACCCAATGGGACCAACCCCAAATCTGCAGCTGGGACCCCAAAGCTGGAGCTGATTTGGGGCTGAGCAGCTCAGGGTCTCCTGCAGCTCTTCCATGAAGCAGCCAAAGGCCAAGGGCCCAGGCCTGGCTGGAAAAGGTGGATCTGAAGCAGGGAAGAGGTGATGGGAGCTGGTTTTGGGATGTTCCCCACACCCTGCACCATGGAGAGCATCCAGCACCCCCCAACCCCAAATCTCCAAAAATGGGAGCAGGCAGGGATGGAGCAGAACTTTCTATGGGTCTCCTCCAGCTCCTTCATGAGGCATCCATGAGGCATCCAGAGCTCAGGCCCAACTGGAAAGGTTGGATTTGGAGCAGGGAAGAGGTGATGGGAGATGGTTTTGGGATGCCCTCCACACCCTGAACCACAGAGGGCACCCAGCGCCCACCCAGCCCCAAAATTTCCAAGAAAGGGATCAGGCATGGATGGAGCAGCTCCAGAACCTTCCGTGAACACATGGAGTATCCATGGGACATTCCTGGGATGCCGTGGTGGGGTGAGGAAAGCAGAGATGGGGCCTTGCTGGCGGTTTCAAGGCTGAGGACCCCTCCTAGCCTCCCTCTTCCCCCCCAGAGCTGCAGAGACCCCAAACTGGTCCCAGTTCCCCCTTACCAAGTAAGGCTGCCACTTCATAGGCTTTCTTCTGCTCAATGGTCTCATAGTTGAGTGCTTCAAAAAAAATGTCCAGCACGAGAATATTCTCTCTGTGGAAACAGGAAAAACATCAGCCCAGGAGCCACTGGTGGCTGAGTCCTTTGGGATTAGGGAAAAATGGGATTTTGGGGGTTTATTCCCCTTTGTCTGGATTGTTCCTCTCTCTGGGGTCCTCAGAACCCCCAGAACTTGGAGCTGGTGCAGAGCAGGAGCTCAGGGCTCTGGGAGCCTTTGGAGCAGCTGGGAAAGGCTTCTGCAGAATTCCTCAGGATTTTGGATCTCACTTCGATGGGAACTCTTTTCTTGGATGGCAATTCCTGATTGTGAGGGCAGCTGGGGCTGCCCCTGGATCCCTGGCAGTGCCCAAGGCCAGGCTGGAGCAGCCTGGGACAGTGGGAGGTGTCCTGGGGTGGCACTGGAGGAGCTTTAAGGTTCCTTCCAACCCAAACCACTCCAGGATTCCATGATTCTGTGAAGTAGAATCCAAAGGATCTGGAACAACTCTCACTTCCCACACACAGCAATCACATGCCCAGGGCTGGGAGAGCTCCACAGCCTGAGGACCTCAGTCCAGAGATACAAATCTCCAACAGGAGCAGCAAAACTGGGAAATTCTGTGCTTTTATTGCTGGGACTGGAGGATTCCCATGAGGACAATCCTTGGGAAGGAACTTAGGTTGTTCTACTGAGAAGAAATCGACCTCATCTCTTCCAGGTTTTCACTCTGCTCTTCCCTGGAGGACATCCCTGTGCTGGGGATGGATTGGCCAGGACTGGGCACTTTCCAGACATTTCCCTCCCAAAGCCCAAAGGAATCCAGGTCCTGCCCCACTCACGAGATGTATTTTTCCGACTTGTTGAACTTCTTCTCCAGGTACTTGGCTGAGGTCTTGCTGGGGATCTTGACCATGGAGAGCTCCTTGTTGTACCTGGTGAGGTTACAGGGGGTCCTGCAGATGCAGTAATTGCTGTCCTTCTCCGCCAGGAGACCTGCGGGGACAGGCAGGAGCTCATGGAGCAGGGACATGGAATGGGGTGGGATCCTGGGGAATGGGGTGGGATCACAGGGAATGGGGACATGGAAGCAGGATGGGATGCCAGGGAGCAGGATGGGATCCCAGGGAACGGGGTGGGATCCCAGGGAACGGGGTGGGATCCCAGGGAACGGGGTGGGATCCCAGGGAATGGGGACATGGAATGGGTGGGATCCCAGGGAACAGGGTGGGATCCCAGGGAACAGGGTGGGATCCCAGGGAACGGGGTGGGATCCCAGGGAACGGGGTGGGATCCCAGGGAGCAGGGACATGGAGCAGGATGGGATCCCATGGAGCAGGGTGGGATCCCAGGGAACAGGATGGGATCCCAGGGAACGGGGTGGGATCCCAGGGAACGGGGTGGGATCCCAGGGAGCAGGGTGGGAGCAGACATTATCCCTCCCAGAAAGGGGCCAAGGGGTCACTCCTGGCCATCGCTGTCCCGGTTCATCCGAGTGTTCTCAGCACCTCGGACAGGGCTCTTGCTGGAGGCCACACTGTCATCAACAACAGCTCGGAGAACTCATGGCTGAGTCTCCTAAATCCAGACTTGGAATGGGTCCCTCCATCCCAACTCCAGCCCCAGAGGGGTTCCTGGGGCTCCCCTGATCCCGAGGGTTTCTGTGCTCATGGAGCCCTTTGCCCCACAGAGAACCAGGAGAAACTTCATCCCAGGGTGCATCCAGCACTCCCCAGCCACCCAAGCCCTCTCCAGGCTGCAGATCCCCCCGTTCCTGGCAGCCAGGAAGATCCAGGCCGCTGGAATCCCCCTGGATTCAGGGATTCCCCCGGTACTCACTGAGTGCGGGCTCTGCACATTCCTTGTACTGCTCCGGGGTGCAGAAGGGAGCGTCCCCTGCAGGGACAGGACAAATCCATCACAGGGGGACACTGAGCTCTCCATGGGGACCCAGGGACCTCCCCCCACGGCTGTCCCCACCTCTGCCTGCCACAGGGGCCTGGGAACAGCACCCAGGGTGGCTCTGGAGCTAAAAAAGGTGGGATTTGATGATCCCAGAGGTCTTTTCCAACCTTAATCAGACCCGGGTCTCTCCTCCGTGGCTTGCTCCTATTTCACAGGGAATCAGGAACATCCTGAGCTGAAAGGGCCCCCCAGGATCTCCAGTCCCACTCCTGCCCTGCCCACACCCCCCAATAATCCCACCCTGGGCATCCCTGGAGCGCTGTCCAAGCTCTCCTGGAGCTCTGGCAGCCTCGGGCTGGGGCCATTCCCTGGGGAGCCTGGGCAGTGCCAGCACCTCTGGGAGAAGAACCGTGCCCTGATCCACCAAACCCCCTGACCGAACCTCAGGCCATTCCCTGGGTCCTGTCCCTGTCCCAGAGATCGGAGCTGCCCCTGGGGAGCAGCTGCAGCCCCAGTGAGCTCTGCCCTCAGCCCCCCCTGCTCCAGATGAACAGGCCAAGAGCCCTCAGCTGCTCCTCGTGTGGCCCCTCCAGACCCTTCCCCATCCTCGTGTCCCTCCTTTGGACCCTCTCGAGTTCTTTGATGTCTTTTATTTTGTGGTGCCCAGAAGTGCCCCAGAGCTGAAGGTGAGGCTGCCCCAGCCCAGAGCAGGACGGGACAAGCCCTCCCTCCCCCTCTGCTGTCCCTGATTCTCCAGGACAGGGATGGTCCTGCTGGCTCCAGATCCAGCCTTTCCCAAAGGCCACGGGCACCTCCTTCCCGCAGGTGTCTGACCTGGCATGTGCACCATCCTGCAGTTGCAGTTCTCCACGATGTACCGAGTCTCGCAGTCGATCCTGCAGGCCGTGACGCTGTACACCGGGAAAAACGCCAGCCCCAGCTCCGGGGAGCGGCACTCACCCCACGGCGGGGGCAGGTACGTCAGCTGGGGACAGGGACAGGATAGGACATCAGCTGGGGACAGGGACGGGACAGGACATCAGCTGGGGACAGGGACAGGATAGGGACAGGGATAGGACATCAGCTGGGGACAGGGACAGGGGCAGGACATCAGCTGGGGACAGGGACAGGACATCAGCTGGGGACAGGGACAGGATGGGGACATCAGCTGGGGACAGGGACAGGACATCAGCTGGGGACAGGGACAGGATGGGGACAGGGACAGGGACAGGACATCAGC